CGGGCTGGCGATGCGCTGCGAGGCGACGCCGCGTTGCTGGCGTCGCGCTTCGGGTCCAGGAGTCGCGGCACACTCTTGTTCCTCCGGCTTCTCCCTCGGTGGCCGGCTGCGGGCACCGCGCTCCCGCGAGCTCCAGTCAGTTGCGGTAGGCTCGGCGTCCCGCACCAGCTTCGACCCTGGCAGGTCCGAAGGCGGAACTTCTACTCACCCCGCCCCCGCCCGCACCACCACAAGGCGGGGCTGCCACGCCCACCTAGCTGCGGGCAGACGCTGCCACCTGCGGGGACCACGTAGACTACAGCAGTAGTGCAAGTTCCAGGCCCGTGGAAGGCGAGAGGAAAGGTGGGCCTCGGAACAAGTGGCATGGGTTCACGAGGCCGCGTAGACTCAACTAATTCCAGGCCCTCAGCCTCCCAGAACCCTCTCAGTGAGAGCAACCAGGGACGCACATGAACACTGGGCTTTACAATTTACAAAGTCCCTGCCCCCTTGGCTCCTTCAGGCGCAAATCTGCATTTTGACTCCTTTCGCGGCTCAAAGAGGAAAGGTCACTTGCCCAAGGTCACACAGCCAAAAGCTGTAGTGGGAGCTGAGGCGAATTCCTCCGTGCAAGGGCACTGCTCTTCACCTCCCCCCTGCAAGGGAGGTATCAGCATCCTTGCTCCCAAAGGGAGCAGGCCCGCAGCCCACACGCAGCTCCCCATTCTAGGCCCCCCATTCCAGGTGGGCAGTGTCTGGCAGTGGGCCTTCCTCAAGGCTTTTGGCTACAGGGCCTTATTTGTCCTGAGAGGAGGCAGCAGGCTCTCCACCTCACCCCAGCAGGCCGCACCCTTCCTCAGAGCCCTGCTTGGGGAGTCATGGCCTAGAATCACTGCAGAGTATCTGCAGACTAGAATGTGAAGGCTCAGGTCTGGCCCAGCTCCACCCCCAGGAAGGCCTAAGCACCCGGAGGCCCCATACCAGGCTAAGCTTGGCCAGGAGTTGGAGTATCCTCTCCTCCCTTCACTTCACAAACAGGACCTCACCACAAACCCCAATCTGCCCTAAATCCTAGAGCTCTGAGGCTGGGGGCAGAACTGGCATGCCTATGGAAAGGCTTCCAGAAGCCCCTTAGCCCACAGTTTTCTTCCTGGCCAACGCATGTGAGACGCTGCCTCCCCTGAGAAGCCTTCTCTAATCTCTCCCTCCCCCAACCCCACTCCTCTAGAATCCCACAGATAATGCCTCTCTGGGGCATCTGTGGACTTTACTGAGTGAGGTGGCATATGTCACTGTCTATTACTACTAATTTCTAAGTCCTGCTCCATTCAAAGCACTAAACTAGTACCTCACAATCACCAACTGCCCCCTGTGAAGTACAGCCATTAGGCCATTTCCACATAAGAAAACTAAGGTATCAAGGGGTTAATTCACTTGTCAGAGGCCTGGCAGCTGGTACAGGGAGATGGTCAAGGTGTTATCATCTTGTTCCCCAACGTTCAGGCACCCAGAAACGTTCAGAGATGAAGGGATGCACATGGCTTTTGGCCCTGGAGTAATTGGCACAAAGTTGCTCATGTGACCATCATGATTTAAATGGGAAATGTGCCAAGCCAACTGTTAGCCAGCACAGCAGGACTTTCTGAGACCATGCTGTCTGCTGGCTGTGGCATGCTGGAGCCAGCCGAAACTAAATAATGTGCAAGTCTCTTCCTGACTGTGTGGTCAGGGATGCCACATTGTAGCTTCAAGTCAGCAATTCTAGGAGTATTTACATCATGGAAAAAGGCCAAAACTACACATCAGGACTTTTCTATCAGAGAAACAATGGTTAAACATTGACCAGAACACCATTTTGGGCATATGCTTGTTAATGTATATTACTTAATCCTTACATCTACCTTGTGAGACCGGTGTTCAGTCCAAAGTTCAACTGCTCTGTCAAAAAGTTAGAGAAAGAACAAGCAGAATAGCAGGTGCCAGCTCTGCAAGTCTGATGAGGCCCTAAAAGATGGAGATTTGAGCTGAACTTCCCAGGGTGTGGAGTCTTCGAGACAGAGATAGAGGGTGGATAGGATCTTTTTATCTTCCCAACGCAGGCTAACAACCCCCCAGCCTTGCCCCTTGCCATCTGCATGATCTTGGGCAAGATCTAGCCCTGGCTGACTCTCAGTATCCCCACCTGATCAGCCCAGGAAGGGCATCTTGAGTCCACAAGCCTGTCCATGATGGGGGTGCTATGGCCTGCAAAAGAATAACAAAGAAGATGGGATGGAGCTAAGTGTGTGCCAGGGCAGATACACATCAGTCTGGTCTCGCTGCTCTCGGCGGACCATACCTTGTGACCTGTGAGCATTATGCCTGCCTGGTGATGAAGGAGACAACTAGCCCTCACTCACAGGCTATTGACTACCCACAGCTCATACATGTGAATGGAACAGTATGATTGCATCCACTAATCAACAAGGAGCAGCCCAGGCACTTGGAGCTGTTGGGGAAAGCCTGGCCCTGAGTGATCACTATACGCTCTCTGAATCAAGGGATGATTCCCCAACAACAGTTTCTGACAAGTAGTCAGCCAACCCTGCTCACGTGCCTCCCACAACAGAGAGCTCACTCTCTCTGATGACCCATGACCATTAAAGTCCACAACTAAGCAGCT